GTAGCCTATTGGACCTTTTTAATGACACACATCTGGAGAATTTATGTAGAGGCATCTGGTGGATTGTTAGGTAGAGTTTAGGAAGAAAATATTTTTTTCTAAGAAAAGCGGAAATGTTTATAATGTGGATCTGTTGAATGTGGCTTCAAACTGATGTTCAGGATGAGATTAGATAAAGAAGAAGTCCATAACAACAAACTTAAATAAATAGGGATGAAAGTGATTGTTTTAACAAACCGGTCTATGCTGTTGTTCAAGTTTCATTTGTTATTTCTTTATTCACTTGAAGATTTTTCAACACAAACATACAAACGCAAACATGCAAACATGTGCACAAACATTAACACCCACACACAACCCCAAACATATGGCGCTTTTCCACTGCGTGGTATGACTCGGCTCGGCTCGGCACGGCTCAGTACGGTACAGCACGGCATGGCTCGGTTTGCGTTTCCACTGCAGTTCAGTACCGCTTTAGAGTGGGCGGGATTATTCACATGTCGTTATAGTAGCGCCGCCTCTATTGCCGCGACTCCTGAAAAACATTTTCATTCTGCGTCGCTTCATCAAGCTCTCGCTGGATCCGCTTCTCTGCTATCAACAAGAGGAACGTCTGTACTTCCTCAACAGACAACGAAACAGCCACTTTTTGGTTGTTAAAAAAGGTGCGCTTGTTCAAAACAGTTGCGTTCAATCCTTCGCTGGCTGTGCTGATTTAAATCTAGCGGTTCTGTTGTGTTTGTGTCGCAAGTTCAGTGACGCAGGTAGTGACGATTCTCTCCGGCCAATCAGTGATCAGCAGAGTTTACACGTCACGTTTTGGTAACGGTACGGTTCACTTGGAACCTCACTCGAGGTGGTATTAAAAAAGTACCAGGTACCAGGTATTGTACCCAGTGGAAAACCCCCCAAAAGTGAACCGTACCGAGCCGTACCGTGCAGTGGAAAAGCGCCAATACATGCAAACACAAACACAAACATACAGCAAAAACACAAACGTAAACATACAGCAAAACACAAACATACACGCAAACAATTGGAATTTTTATGAGGGGTAATCAATCAAATTTTGACATAAAGGACATTGTATTCACTCTATCAAAGACCCCAGGTAACAGGGCAACACCACTTCCTAGTTTACTCCCTTTCTTTAGACTTCATTCAATTCAAAATAAATTCTAAGTTGTACAGCAAATAACATATTCACCCTATAAATGCTTAATTGTTCATACACCAAGCGCTTGGGAGTTCACGCTGGGGCCCAAATTCGGTGGTGCACGGATAAGCAGTCAGGAATGAATGAAAATCGGTTGTTACTGTGTGACACTGTCACACAAGAGACATGTTTTACCACTCTATTTATTGCAATGATTTTATGGATAATAGAGTTTTAACTGGTTTATATGTTTTCTTAAGTCCATTTTATTCCTCTTAACATTTTAGTGTGTATGTCTTTAAGAAATGTATGGTTGGCCTGTCATGTGACCAGTCACATGACAGGAAGCAGGAAATATTTCTATAAAGAGAGCAGCATGCCAAACAAACAGGCAGCCACTAACAGTCACAAAACTTCCCTGGATTGTGGAGTTACCTTCCTGTGGACTCACCTTTCCAGACACAATTGCAATCAATTGGATTATCACTTCTGTTGGACTGTATATACACTGGTGGACACTCACATTGGGACATTTCAGCACACTAGGACTCTTGGACTGTTTTAGGGTATGGTGCAATGGACTGTATGATTTTAACAGCATGAGTTACCTGGTTTTACTGTTGTTTTAAAGTCTCATGTGAATATTGTAAATGCACCATTCTTTTGAAACGTATTTCTCTTTTATGTCATTCTTTTAACACATACAAACCTCTCACACAGTAAAATCTGACCCCATTTTAAACTTTGTAACCCAGCCTGTTAGGCTGATCATTACAACTGTACACAGTCAAACTCGTTACTCAGAATCCACTACTTGAAACTTAGCTCCTCAATAGAAATGGGAAAACAGTCCAGCGATGAAATAAGTGATGCGTCACACCAGAGAAGATTGCCGATGATATGTATTTGCATATCCATACCATGAAGGCTGGAGCTTCCTCTCCTTTAACAGATGAAAATGTGTCCTTTTTTGGTGTAGAATCACATGAATATACTCTGATGCTGTTCTATAACTTTTCCTGGGTCCTTGACTCCCAAGAAAATAATAAACACTTTAGTCCTCTCTTCTGAAGCACGGAATGGCGGCTGCTACGTTGAGCAAAATTCGCCCATTTATAGTCTTTAAAGACACAGAAAATCTTCCTGTTATACTGAATACTATTTTGGACATGAACACTGTCACTGTAATACTTAAAACAGCATACAATTTTTTAAGTTTTCCTGCCTTACTAAAAAACAGCGAACCAAGCCTTCTGACCAAGCAGCTCTACCCCCCTCGAGTTCCTCCCCCCCATTCTCACTGGCCAATTGCAAACACACCAAACTCAATGGAACATCTCATTGGATAGCATTTTAAACACTTTAGGATACACTTTACGTAACAATAATCAAATTGCAATGTATGCACATAAGACATTGAAATACATAAAAATATACATCCAAGGGAAAATAATAAAATAAATATATACAAATATTCAGGGGGTTACACTCTGAACATCAGAAAACAGGCTACTAAAAAGTCACAAAAAAAACATCAAAATAAAAGCAAACTAAGAAGATAGTAAGAACATTCAGCTGCATAATTTATTCATGCTGCAATGCATGCTGGGAGTTTTGTACCATTCTGGCCCCCAGCATGCATTGCGGCATGAAACTTTTTTTTTGTTAAGTCACCATTGTTGAGATTCATGTGCTGATTCTTGATGTCTGTGTGTGTCTAAATGGTGCTGTAGTTATAAAGGTTTTGTGCATAAAATGTTTTTTTTTTTTTTTTTTTTTATCTTTCATAATAGTTTGTCATCCCATAGCATCATATACTTATTGTAAATAACCTAAAACAAATAATAAACCACACCATATCATTAAAGATTAGCCACTGAAAGAGTTTAGTGAGCCACTAGATGATGATTACACCACCATAAACAATAAATCAAAATCATTTAATCACACTTTTTTTTTTTTTGTGGCTCCCCTTAATATAAAAAAAATGTGCTTTACAGACACAGTTACAGCAGCCAGAGAAAAACTAACATTAAAGAGTCAAGGGTCAAGAGCCCAACTAAAGCAAACACTGATCGCCACAATGGTGAGGTCAAACGAAACATTTTCAATAAAACATCTAAACATCTGTTAATTCTCAAAGAACTTTTGTAGATATGTGACAGAAATAAAGTCAAACTGTAATAAGTGAAGCTGGTAATGCTGTTTGTGGAGTTGTTTAATCCTCCTCTGCTCTTTTATTTCAGTTGGTTTCATCTAAGGCTGTGGCTATATGTCGGTTGTAGTTTTGTTTCTTATTCTTTTCTTCAGTTAATCTGCTTGTTAACAGCAGGTGTTCATCAGAGTCTGAATTCACTCATTTGTTTTCAATCACTCTGTCAAGTGGACTATATGAGTAAACTAATATGTAGGGATTATTGAATGAGGGTGTATGGTGTGATTTCAGAAACAGTCTCTGAGTGTCGACTCTGAATGCTGTTAATTCACAGTATACTGCAGAAGGCTACTTTCTCGAAAACAACTAATATTACCCAGAATGCATTGTTTTCTATGGGATTTTACTGTTTTAATAAAAACGGTGTGTTACTGTCAGAATGTGGTCATTTTTTACAGCAAGTTTTTACAGTGTGGGTTATAAATGGGATGGTTCACCCAAAATTGAAAATTCTGTTAAAAGAAATGTTCCCCACAAGGTCAAAATTTACTGGTATTACTATGCTTGTGGGGACATTTGGTCCCCATACCTTGTCTAATACCAGTACACAATACACACACACACATCTATGAACTGTAACAGAGCAAGTTTTTGCAAATAGTGTAAAACAGACACACACACACACACACAATTATACAACACACAAATGAACTGCTGTGGCTATAACTATATAGCAAAACTGAATCTGAAGACTCAGATAAGAGGTTGAAATCAGATCAGACCCAGATGGATTAAACTCTGATAAAGCATTTCTGTTCATTTTTGTTACTTTTTAATTAAGTTTTTATGTTATGTGTAACAAAATGCGTTCTCTGTGTTCAGGTTTGACTGTAGTAATACTAATGCAAAAACTGACACTTTCACATCAACTTTTCAAATAATAAATATTTAAAACTTGACAAAAAGTAGTATTTGAGAATGTCTAAATATATATACAAACCCACAACCTAATAAAAGTAAGTAATTATGTTTAATTATTATGTCTCAAAATAATAGTAAAAAATATTATTGAACAAAAATATATTACATTGATTTTACTGAAAAAAAAGAGTGTTCAGTCACTTTTGACTATGAAGACCACAAGTGTACCTCACAAATCAGGAGCACCAGAGGATTAAACATTGAAAAATGACTTTAAGCTGGAGATACTAAAGTAAATTGATGTCTAACAATTTAAAGTTCTCTTTTTTTTGGATTCCATATTCAGTTGTCAGTTTTTGCTTTACAACTAAGTATTAGTTCATTTGTATAAGGAACAACATATAATTCAGTTTAGGTATTATGTTGTTTAGGTAATTTCTAGACAAATTAATCAGCTGAATGTTACATTTTCATTCTGGTTTTAGGCTTTCAAACTGCGGTATCACTGAAGAAGGTTATAAAGCTCTGGCTTCAGCTCTGAGATCAAACCCTTCACACCTGACAGAGTTGGATCTCACTGGAAATGATCCTGGACAATCAGGAGTGAAGCAGCTCAATGATTTACTACAGGATCCAAACTGTCAACTGAAGACACTGAGGTGAGACGTGATGAAATAATACAAAATAAATAAATGATGTGCAGGCTAAATTTATTTTAGATATACAATAATCTGGATCAAAATGATCAGATCAGATCAGATGCTGCAGGTTCTGTTGTACTGATGATGACAGTCAACACAGTTTAGTTGTGCTGCTATTCTGGAGTATGGTATACCTTGATAATTAACATTTTACTCAACTCATTTGAATGTTTCTGAACACACTGAAGTTTAATTTCCATCAAGCTAAGATTCACTCTATCACTGAATATTTACAGCAGGTTTGTGAGTCTTCAGATGATCACAAACATTAGGTTTTACACGCCTGTTTTCTCTGTGCTGATGTTTCTCACTACTCCTGCTTAAAAGCCAGAAATATCTTGAGGCTTTTAATTTCATACTCTGTATTCATACCGAAAATCATGATCTAGTGAGCTTTTGCTCTTCTATTCTCTGGGACTTTTCTGTTGTCCTGAGCTTTAGGACTGAGTGTTGCTCTAGTTTCTTTTAAAAAGACTGTGATCATTAGTCTTTGTTTTTCAAGTATTTGTGTATTACAACAACTAGAGCTCATTTTTAGAATAATAAAGGGATTTTGTTTAGTTTTTTGATCTTGTCAGTCATTTTTGTAATGCAATGGACCTTTAGTTCAGAACTGAATTGAATCCTGCTTTATCTTCTCTTCTCCAGGTTTTTGGGTCCTGCTGCAAATGAAGCCTGTCAGTATGTGACTGGAATTGTGGGTAAAAACCCGTTACTCCTGAGAGAGCTGAATCTGAGTGAACATGAACTAGGAGACACACAAGTGAGTCAGATCGCTGCTCTACTGCAGGATAAACACTGTCAACTCAACACACTGACGTGAGTATTGTTACTTTATTTTAAGGTGTCCTTGTTACAGTGCAACTATACATTTAAGTACTGAGTAATATTAATTAACTACATGTATGGTTAGGGTTAGGATTAGGGTTTGGCTTAGTTTACTTGCATGTAATTATGCGTAATTAATTGTTATTATAATTTTAATGTAATTTTACTGTAGTTGATAATATTTTCTCATTTGTTTGAGTCAGAGCAGTATTTTCCCTCAGCATCACAAAGAGCCACTATAATGTGAAGTATCAAAATTAAACAGGCAATTAAAAAGTGGCATCAAGCTTTAAACTAGGGATGAGCTGATCCGATACTCATATCGGTTAATGGCTTCAATACTGTCATTCTTTGTCGGATCGGGTATCGTTCAGACAGGGCTGATCCAAATCTGCTATTTTTTAACTGTTCTGTTACTATTACTATTACTAAGACACAACAAATATATAAAAGCAATATAAAGCACAATAAAGTTTGTGCACTATATTGCAAGTCTTCTGAAGCCATATGATAGCTTAATGTGAGGTACAGATAAATATTTAAGTCCTTAAATTAAAGTTCATGTAAACTCTTTTCTCCGCTGCAGCTTTCAGTCATTCTCTGTTCAATTCAAACACTGGTCACATTCTGTTACGACAGTAAGCTCAGTAAAACTCTCTCCAAGATCATTCTCAGTGTTCCTATTGTTATCATTGATTTTCAAGATTTCAAGATTTTTATTTGTCACATATTGAGTTATATATATAATACATAACCAGTAGTGAAATGTAAGGCAAGGTAAGTTTATTTATAAAGCACATTTCATACACAATGGTAATTCAAAGTGCTTTACATAAAAGGAATTAAAATAATCATAAAAAATTATAATAAAAACTTTTAAAATAAACTAAAATTGATTTAAAATGAATTAAAACAGTTAAGAATAGAAAGAGATTATACATAAAATACAGTGCAATCAGTTCGGACGTAGCACAGTGCTCATTCACTAAATGCACAGCTAAACAGATGAGTTTTGAGTCTGGATTTAAATGTGGCTAATGTTGTAGCACATCTGATCTCTTCTGGAAGCTGATTCCAGCTGCGGGCGGCATAATAACTAAAAGCAGATTCCCCTTGTTTTGTGTGAAGCCTTGGTTTTTCTAACTGACTTGATCCTAATGATCTGAGTGGTCTGTTAGGCTTATATTCAGTGAACATATCTGCTATGTATTTAGGTCCTAGGCAATTGAGTGATTTATAAATGAGTAAAAGTACTTTAAAATCAATCCTAAATGTAACTGGAAGCTAGTGTAAAGACCTGAGGACTGGTGTGATGTGCTCAGATTTTCTAGTTCTAGTCAGAATCTTGGCAGCAGCGTTCTGGATGAGCTGCAGCTGTCCAATGGTCTTCTTGGGAAGGCCGGTGAGGAGACCACCATGAGGTTGAGACCGGAATAAGTAGCAATAGAAGAAATAAATTCTGCTTTGTTAACAGTAGACTAGCAGTTCCAGAGACCAACTGGAATAGAGAGTAAAGTAGTAGAGGACAGAGGGACAGTAGATTATTAGGATTGGCCTGCCTCCAACGTACAGTGCGTGATTTCCGAGTGCTAGTGAACGTTTTGGCTCATCCAACTGTTAATTTGATCAATGCGTTGGCAGAGGGAGTCAATGGGGCTGTAGTCATTTGCATTTACATATACATTTAATCATTTAGCAGACACTTTTATCCAAAGCGACTTACATAGTAGTAATAGTAGAGATTTGAAAGCACATAGTGAGTACAATTGTCCTAAACAGGTAGATGAGAACAAGCTGTACAAAGTGTAAAGAAAGAAAAGAAAAGAAAAGAAAAAAAAGAAAGGGGAGAAAAGCAATACTCAAGTGCCTTGACGGTGTCCTTGCTTGGGGGAGTCGCGCAGGTAGAGTCAATGGTCTTTACATTTGTCGGTCTTCACAAGAGGAGGGCTTCACAGGAGGGATGCCGCGACTGCTGGCGTGTTATTGAAGTCGTTATTGAAGTCAGCTGGCCACGCCCTACTATTTAGCTAACCAAAACTGAAAAGTCCCGCGATACGCAAGAGAACAAACGTGACTTGAGCACGTATTTGCCACAGTAAAACACAGTATGTGAAACAATGTTTCATAGCAACGACAACCACGCTGAAATCTAATGAGAAAACAAGACAAAACACTTACAAACTGCTGTCCTCGTCTGCTGCTCGGCTGCTTCTTCTAACAAGTGCCTCCAAACAGGTAAATGAGTACTTTTACTAGCTTTGGCCACGCCTTACTATTTAGCTAACCAAAACTGAAAAGTCCCGCGATACGCAAGAGAACAAACGTGACTTGAGCACGTATTTGCCACAGTAAAACACAGTATGTGAAACAATGTTTCCTAGCAACGACAACCGCGCTGAAATCTAATGAGAAAACAAGACAAAATACTTACAAACTGCTGTCCTCGTCTGCTGCTCGACTGCTTCTTCTAAAGCCCTCTTCACACTATAAGCGACAAAGTGACACGATCCCATTCATTTCAATGGAGAGCTGGCGATTTCCGGCGACAAGTGCGACAGCGGCCGTTGGCGACGGATGAGGCGTGTCCAGCGAAGTGACAAAGTTCAGAATCCTTCAACTTTATGCAAATTAAGAGCGATGTTCAGAAGCGACAGCCAATAGGAAAGAAGATGGTAGAGCTCATGTGATCATTCTCCTCTGAGCCGTAGATAAACATACGCAATGAAAAAAAGTAGGCTCTGTTTCTCATTCATTTTTGTTTGTATGTAGGGATTTAATATAGTATTTAGCAGCAAGAAACCTGATTTGCTGTCAAGGCAACCAGTAGTGAGAACGCCCACTAGCAACCTCATCGCCAGCCGCTGGCGACATGCAGCGACAAAGTCGCTGCTAGTGTGAACGCAGCTTAACAAGTGCTTCCAAACAGGCAAATAAGTACTTTTACTGGCTTCGGCCATGCCTTACTATTTAGTTAACTGAAACTGGAAAGTCCCGTGATACGTACGAGAACAAGCGACTTATTTACCATGGTAAAACACAATATGTGAAACAATGTTTCCTAGCAATGACAACCTGCTGAAATCTAATGAGAAAACAAGACAAAACACTTACAAACTGCTGTCCTCGTCTGTTGCTCGACTGCTTTTCACTGCATTTGGTGATAAGGCTAGGTAAATCTGGGTATCATCAGCATAGCTGTGATAGGCAATTTGGTTCTTTCTCATTATTTGACTTAGTAGGAGCATGTACAGGCTAAGCAAGAGCGGTGCAAGAATTGATCCTTGTGGGTCTCCGCATTTCATGGACGTCCACTTAGACTTATGCTCTCCTATACTCACATAATAACCTCTCCCTTCTAAGTATGACCTGAACCATTTGATTACTATCCCAGAAAGCCCAACCCAGTTTTCCAGTCTCTCTAGTAGCATGTTATGATCAACAGTGTCAAATGCAGCACTGAGATCTAGTAGTACCAGCACTGATATTTTGCCAGAATCAGAATTTAAGCGAATATCATTTATTATCTTTATGAGTGCTGTCTCTGTGCTGTGATGCAGTCAGAAACCAGATTGAAAATTATCCATTTATTATTAACTCAGCAATACGCAAATGCTCAAATGTTTGCTGTGAAACAATATTTCAAATGCTTAGAAGCAAATTACTAAAAGGGTCAAGAGCCCAACTAAAGCAAACACTGATCTCCATGACGGTGGCATCATTTTAACAAATAAAACATCAACATCTGATCCTCTGTAATTCTCAATAACAGCAGGTGTTCATCACCAATGCACAATGATCATTTAATTAGTCACTTAATTATCTCATTAACTTTAACTCTTTGAGGACTTGGGATTTGACTTGAGACTTGCTTGTGACTTGAAAGGAATGACTTGGTTCCTCCTCTGGTGAAATCAGCTGCTGAGTGCTGAGGAATAAACATATGGCAGGACTTTTACTTTCTGACCCCTGGACTACCCACCTCTGTCAATGATCTTGCCTATAAAAGGTAGATTTGATATTGGTCTGTAGTTACTCAATATGGTGTTATCAAGATTGCTATTTTTCAGGAGGGGCTTAACAACTGCAGTTTTCAGTTTGGAAAAGTCCAAGAGAGAAGTGAGGAGTTCACCACTTCTAAGAGATCTGCTTCTAAACAGTTTAACACACTTAAAAAAAAAACGTGGAGAGTGTGTCAAGATAGCAGGTTGATGATTTAAGGTGCTGTACTATTTCTTCCAAAATTTTGCTATCAGTTGCTTCAAAAATAGACAGTGACTTATTTTTGAAATTGCGGTCGAATCTGTCTGACCTCTGCATCTTCCAAAATTTTGCTATCAATTGCTTCAAATTTTTTTTTTTTTTTTAATTTTTGAAATTGCGTCCGAATCTGTCTGACCTCAGCATAACTTGATGATGTGCTAATTGCCTTTCTAATATTAATGATTTTCTCAAAAAAGAAGAAAGCAAACTCATTGCATTTGCTGTCAGAGAGAGCATTTCACTGGCAATCTGACTTAGGTTTGTTAGTCTCTCAACAGTAGCAAAAAGAGTGCAAGTGTTGTTTAAGTTACTGTTTATAAGGTTTGAGAAGAATGACTGTCTAGCTTTGCCTAGTTCCACACTGAAATGACGAAGGCTGTCTTTATAGATGCTATAGTGAATTTCAAATTTCGTCTTCCGCCATATCCGCTCTGCAGAAATGCTTGGTGTTAAAGATATAGCCTTTATAAATAGCACACTAGTGTTCTCGTTAATGCATCTCTTTCTTACAGAGACAAATCTAGATTCAGTGGTAGCAAAGATTGATATATCAAAGAAAATATAGAAGTGATCAGATAACTTATCAATGTGTATCTTATCTTAATAACAATCTTAATAACAATGGATGAAATGTTAAGACCCTTACTGATGATTAAATCTAGAGTATATCCACGATTGTGTGTAGGTCCATGCACATGCTGAATCAGGTCAAAAGTGTTTAAAACAGTTATAATTTCTTTTGTAGCATTGATTTCTGCATTATCTATGTGAATATTAAAGTCCCCTGCAATAGCAAAACAGTCAAACTCTGAGGAAATCATTGATAACAGTTCTGTAAACTCTTCAATAAAGGCTGGAGAGTATTTTGGAGGGATGTAAATAATGATAAATAGGATGCGTGGAGCAACTTTCAGCACAATCCCTAGATATTCAAAAGACAAGTACTAACCAAATGACACTTACTTGCATTGATAGACATCTTTAAATAGAGCAGCTACACATCCACACATCTCTTAACAGTTCTGCAGACACTCATGAAAGTAAAGTTAGGAGGGGCTGTTTCATTGAGGACTGTTGCACTGCAGCTGACTTCTAGCCATGTTTCGTTTAAAAATATAAAATCCAAGTTGTTTGTGGTGATTAAGTCATTGATCAGAAATTATTTATTTTTTTAGTGAGCGAATATTTAAAAATGCTAACTTCATGGCATTGGTTTTTGTCCCAACAGCAATTTGACGCATAACAGGCCGCAGATTAGATGGGTCAGCCGTACGGCTTGAGAAGGCCTTAGAGTTTCTATCA